AAAAAAAAAAAAAAATTATTGATTCAGATATTGGAAATAAGTACTGGGGCCGAGTTTGCACCTACTGATAATCTTGGGACAGAGTATGTGTAATTCTCCTTTATGGAATACTACTAACTACAAGAGTTCTTGAAAATCTACACATAAGGTAAAAGCAAACTGATATATTAAGAAATCTTATAGAAAAAGTGTCAGGGAGATCACAGTTAGAAGGAAAGGTTAAAAAACCCTAAATTTTAAGTTCATTAAAGTAAAACTATAAAGGCAACATACTACATACAGGTAGTATCAATGACAACACATACTAATTAAGAGTATTAATTACTTTTATACATTACCCTTCATTAAGAGTATTAATTACTTTTATATAAATTAGAGTATTAACTTCTACTACCACCTCTTATTTACAAGAAACTTCAGGGTCTTCTTCCCCAGATTCCATGACGTACTTACAAATTTGTTTTGTTTATTTCTATATACTAAATGGATTTTTGCATTTCAATGTCTGATCAATGTCCAGTGCCAATCTGATTCTATGATTTAGAATTATCAACTCCTACCTTGGTTCCAGTTTACCTGAATAACTGACTGGAAAGACATCTGGTTGTTAATAATGAATACCTAGTATAGGTGAATAGTTTCTGAAACTTTTAGCTCTTCTTATAACAACTTCTTGTCAACACACGCATCAGCCTGTTCTACATGCATCTCAGCAACTTCCCTTCTGTAGAGAGCACACCCAATTTGAGGGGCTAGATTTATTTCCTGCCATGTTTCTTTTTTTCCCAAAGGCTTCATCACAAAGCCTTCTATTCTTCTGCCATCTGCTTTATCTCCCTTTTCTATTCTTAACCCTTAATTCCCCTGGGTGGGAAGTGGGAGTAGGAAGGAGGATCTAATTAACTCCCAAAAGAGTTATTTATAATTTGGACATATTAGAAGCTGAATACAAAATCCTAAATGAAGAAAGAGTAACTACAAAGTCTCTTTATCTACTAGTTACAAGTTATCACTACTGTTCTCTCTATTTGCTATACAAATTTTACTTTTTCATCATATTCTTCCAGAGTCCCTGATAGATCTTTGTAGGACTTGAACTTAATGTTAGGTAGAGATATTGCAGAACAAACCATTAAGAGGACACAACTTCATTCATAGGGACTTTGTTCTTATTCTGTACAACACAAGCTTATTTCTGTATGCTAGAATTTTTCATGAGGAAACTCCTGATTAGAGAATGTGATTGACTTAGCTTTTTACAACTGGTTGCTTATATTATAACCAGACAATTCTTTGTACCTACAATAACAAAGTATAATAGGATTATTGTATGTGAAATAGTCATATGCAAAAATTTCAGCATTTTTAGGTCCTATACTTTGAAATTCAGATAAAAAAGATATAAGATCTCTCTTCTAATGTCCAAATCTTATCTTGATAAAATTATCCTCAAAGTATCTCAACTTCTTCTAATAAAATAAATTGGAAAAAAAACTTAGGTTGTAAAAAATAACAAAAAAACTATGACATTTAATAAGACATTTTCAATATTACTAGCATGTGAAGTTTTGAGCTGTGTTTACATTTATTTCCAATTGTGTTAATTCCCTGTTTAATTTCAATTTGACATAAAAGTGGGACTTTCCACTGAACTAAAATTGAGAATCTGAGTAACCATATTTTAACTTTTTGGAAGAAAACTATATACCTTTTTGGAAGAGATAAACTATACCCCTTTGGTCTGGCAACTGTGTATTTACTTGGCCAGTTTTATGTAGTATTAGACCTGGGATTTACTAATGTTTGGCAAAAATTTAAAAATGTCAGCTAAAATAATGGACCAGGTTGTGTTTTGTCATACAAGAATTGCCTAAAAGTAAGTCTTCTTATTTATCTTTTAAAAACATAACTTAATTTTCAAAATAACTTTTAAATGAAATGGTAAGTTATAATAAATGATGGTTATGATAAATATGAAAATGATATTGATATTTTATTCATCAGAGCATAAATAACCTTTATTTTACCCTTCACCTAAGTGTTCTGTAACTTTCCCTTCGTTGTGTTAAATTTCATTTATGATTAAAATTTGTGTATACTTCCAAAAGACTAGATAACATGGGCTTACCTGATTGTAGTTGGGCAAATACTCTGAGTTTATAATATGATCTACAGAGTACATCTAGATTTTAAGTGTATGTTTCAGGCCAGAAAATTAAACTTTTTTTTTTCCCCACCATAAAGTTTGCAAAGCATAATGGTTAGCTCTATGCTTGATAAAAACAAAAAACAAAAAAAACAAAACTCTTGAGTCCAAATCCATAGGAATCTACAAACATCAAGAGTGAACCAAAATGTAAATGAACTTTGGGTGATTATGATATGTCAATGTAGGTTAACCAATTGTAACAAATGTACCACTCTGCTGGGGGATGTTGATAAGGGAGGAAGCTATTCATGTGTGGGGGCCAGAGATATATGGAAAATCTCTGTACCTTCCCTTCAATTTTGCTCTGAACAACAACAAAATTGCTCCAGAAATACAGTCATAGTTAAATAAAAAATTAAGTCAAAAACAAAACAAGACTCAACTTTCCTTTGTAATTTTCCAAGCAATTAAGAGACTTTTTGCTAAAACTGTTATAGATAGTAACAAGAAGTTGTTTATTTTGTAACTGGCAAAACAAAGAAAAGGAATGAATGAAGCTTCTTGATTTGTACCATTTTTGTACACTACTGCATTGGTGAGAGCCTTGGACACAAAGAAGAAAATCAAGATTTCTTAAGGTTTTGAAAAATGCTTCTGAATATATCACTAGAAATATGATGAGAAGCTGTTTTTCAAACACTGAGTAGGCATTTTTTAAATGAGAGTGGTATGCAGAAATTAATGAAATTTCCAAATACTTCAAAGTTTCTCATTTGTATATTTAAATGTATAATTGTGATTTAGGGAAGTGAAGTAGGACACACTGCAAGTTTAAATCATTCAGGATCTAATATATATAGACTTCTCTACAGCCACATATTCAATAATGATTGTAAGTCATTTATGTTATATGTCTACTTGAATTAATTTTAAGTTCTAACAGTAAATCCATGTATTAAATCTAAGTGTTCATAATGACATCCCTCTATTATAATGCTAATGCAGTCACTTACCTTTTTATTCTTAGTCTTTTTCTTTTTCTTTGGTTTACTCTTAACCTGACAAGAAATAAATCAATTAATATGCAATTCAAACTGCACAATAAGTTATTTTGCAAAATATATTTCCTCTAACCACGGAAATCTTTTATCTTCTAATATTATACATCACATTTTCTTCCTAGATTCTATAGAAAATTATTTTCATTTTTTTTTTTTAAAGATTTTATTTATTTATTTGAGAGAGAGAATGAGAGAGAACACATGAGAGGGGATAGGGTCAGAGGGCAAAGCAGACTCCCTGCCGAGCAGGGAGCCCGATGCGGGACTCGATCCAGGGACTCCAGGATCATGACCTGAGCCGAAGGCAGTCGCTTAACCAACTGAGCCACCCAGGCGCCCAGAAAATTATTTTCATTTTCACTTTGATTTTAATCTCAGTCTTCTGCTCTTGAAAAAATCACTGATCTATAAAGGAATAACATATCAATGAATAGGCTATAGAAAAAAACCTCACAGATCCTCATTTGCATATGTGCATGCATGAGCAACAAAGGAGGAAGGGACTTTAAAAAAATCAACATATTCAAGTCCATAAGAGGAAAAATTAAGTCTGGGAATAACTTAGTGACCATATAGTAACTGTTAAAGAAATACAGAGATTCCATCCTGCATGATTTTAATTCTACTCCTGGGCAAATGGCATTGAAATATCCCTGTTTTCTTCTTTCTCTCTTCTGTTCCCCATTATGCTTTCTTCTACTTTCTATTAACTTCCCATCACTCAGGATGAAGAAACATGTTCAGAAATCTAGCATAGTGCCTGGCACATAACAACTGTTCAGTAAATGCTGGCAAAATAAACGGTTAAGGCAGGAAAGATTTTGGAAGAAGTACTAGGGAAAGAACCATTGCAATTCAAGCTCTGTGTAAACACTATGATAAACTAAGATCATCTGAGATGCTGTAAGGACAGCACACGCAACAAACTAAAGGCCCTGATTAAGTTCTAATTTGAATATTAATGAGAACTTATACTTCCTGGAGATCTTTAATAGATTCTGTTGAAGATTCACTGGGTATCGATGCTCCATCTTTATTCATTTCTGCTAACTGTATTTCAGGGTTTGATTTCACATTTATATTGTACTCCATGAGGGGTGGACTTAGTTCTTCTTCCTCATTCTGTAACTCTTCTATTTCAATACCTAAATGTTAAAAACAAAACACTCAAAATCGGGATGGCATACAGTTTTAGCCTCAATTATAAACAAATCCTATTATAAACAAATCCCTCCTCCCCGCCCCCCCCACCATAAAACACCATCCCAGAAACAGAAATAGAAGACATCTTACTCTGTTCCATCACTAGATGAAAATGAAATGCCCATTTATCAATGACCAAATAGGTACAGATATTAGCCTAGAACCAATCAGTACAAACCCAAATGTTGATACTTTACTGTTATCTTAAGTAGACTCTAAATATCAGTAAATACTGTTATCTTAAGTGACTCTAAATATTAGATATTCAGAACTTAAGTCGACTCTAAATACTAAGTTTTTGAGGATCCTGACATTGACCCTATTAATACTAAAACTAGTATAATTTTAGGATAATGAACATTTTTTATTTCTAACTTAAACATTTTTATTGTTTAAGTATAGTTTTACTCCAAACAAAACCCATGGTGTTGTTTTCTTATGTATAATTTTACTTGCACAATATGAATTGCATTAAAAAAAAATCCACAAGAGCACAAAAATGGAAATTAAAAAAATCAGCAATTCACCACCTGGCAAAAAGAGTATATAGTTTAACAATGCACAGTTAACCAGATCAAAGCTACATAAGCTAAAGAGTAGCATATACGAGCAGGTAAAGCAAGCAGGCAGACATTTCTGCCTGTTGAAGTATCCAATGTGTTAAAAAAAGTTAACAAACTACGGGTAAATCCTGGAGCACATGCACTAAGACCAAAGCAGAGTAAAAAGGCTCATACTACATTCAGCTGACCAGTAGTAATTTGACCACATGATTTTCCAAGCTTATAACAAACAATTACAGTTTATCATACAGTTTATCTGACCAAGTAAAACGCCTGTAAGTATCCCCTAGCTGTCCCAAGTTGAAAGGTCATCTAGGCATTTTGTTTTTAAACATACTTACGTTGACTGCCCGTTATTGACTGTAGAGCAATTCCTATGATACATAAAGAAAAAATTTAAGATGTACAATTGCAAATGCAACCAAAAAATATCTGACTGGGACTAAGAAAAGCCAGAAGATTTTTACGCTGCACCAATTAATTTTATTATTTTTTTTGCACCAATTAATTTTATAACTGTAAAAACAACTAGCTTCACTCATGAATCCAGTTTAAACAAGGCATAATCTTTAGATTATAACATAAAGCTTATAAACTCCTGTTTAGAAAAGGAAAACAAAATTTTGATAGTTCATAATAGATAATGCCTAGAATATAAACACTTTAAAACAAGTAGCACATTCTTATAATTTAAAAAGTCTAAGGTCATGAAGTAATAATAGTCAATTATGAAGCAAACCTCCATTGAAAGTTTGAGCATTTTTTTAGCAATATGAATTATCCTGATCAGTCCTCCCTCTCTCTTGCCTATTAATAATTATTAAGCATCTACAATGCATCAGGCCCTATTAGGCTCTAGATATTGAATGGTGAAGAAATAAGACAACTTTACAGTGATTTAGTGGGAACAGTAGATATTAATCAAACAAATGAAAACAGCAACTGTAATAACTACTAGGAAAGAGATAAGATACTAGGAAAGCCTCTATTAAAGAAACTTGAAGTTTTTTGGTCTACCTGAGAACTGCTTGAAATGCTTTGAATTTATTTAGTGCTCAAGTATTTCCCAAATATTACCTTTATTCTCGTTTGTTATGAAAAATCTCAAAGTAAATATAAAAAAAAAAAGTCTCTTATTTTAAGTCAAGGGTTCTTGCATGACTTTCTCATATCATCAAAGTCAGCATTCTCTTCTTTTATGCTCAAAGAAAGCTCTTAAAGGTTAAGCAGGAAAAAAAATGGTATCCCAGAACCTTAGTAAAAGGACTATTATTGGGGCCTAGCAATTATCTCTGAAGAAAATCTGGACCGGTTCAACAATTACTGGAAACCTGGTAAGTTGTACGGTTACATAGCATCCGTGTGGTCATCAGTTGCTCAGTAGGTAATATAACTAATAACTTGGGGACCAGGAAAAGTAACCCAGAATAGCATTGTACGGGTTTCAGTGATGCTGACATGCCTTGAACTCCACTCCCCATGACGACAAATGAGAAGCTATCCAGGAATGTGGAAGAGGAGATATGAAGTCTTTCCCATATCAAGAGACAATGTCTGGGAATGGCTACTGCTGACCTTGGATACTTGCATAAACATTATTTTATTTTATTTTTTTTAATTACCCATGGGCATGGCCAATGGATAGCTGCCAAACTTTTAAACTAAATGTCATGGTTCTGATAGAAAGGAGGAGAAAACATATACTCCTGCTATCTAAAAGGGTATCCTTGAAACACACAGTACCTGTATTCCATGGTTTTAATTTTATAGTAGTGATAAAACTCCTTTACTTAAAAATCTTCAACAATTCCTTTCTGAAAACAAAAACTCCTCGACATGTCAAGAGAAATCCTCTTGAATGTATTTTCTTTATTAACTTTCCCCTACTTTGATCTCAATAAGGCAAAACTTTTTAGTTCCTGCATTACAATGTATTTTTGTTTCTATACCTTTGTTCTTGTTTCCTTCTGAAATGTCCTTCTCCATCTTCTCCACTGGGCTAACTTTTACATGTCATTTAAGAATTCCTTAAATATTACACTCTCCAGAAAGCTTTTTTGGACTCTCTTAGGGTAGGATTCTGGAACATCTCTAGCACTATGATTTTTATTAGTTTCTTGATGAGTCTATCCTCCCAAGAATGTGAGCTCACTGAATCTCCTGCCCTTAGCACTGTGTCTGGCACATGGCAGATACTCAGTGAAGGTTTACCAGCTGAAGTAAGTAATTATTTTGTACCTTGTTGATAGCAGGATAACATCCTCTGGATGATTTCTGGTACTGGTATGCCTAGGTAGATGGACAGTTGATGGTAATCAAGGGAGATATTCTCAATGGGATTCTCCTTCACTTTCTCAATATCCTCTTGCTTCATCCCAAGGCGCAGAAGAATATCTGAAACTTTTTTCCAAATTGAATTGAATTGTGACTCAGTGAGACCATTCATCAAAATCTCACTAAGGAGGATATCCCTGTATTTGCACAGCCTCAAGATGTCTGCAGACTTAGAGAGATCAGAAGATGGTGGTTCCATATTCCAGCCTTTTTTGGGTGCAGGGAATACATTCAAATGTTTTATGAGAGCTAAGAGGAGGTACAAGTCAAACTGTTTGGACTGTGGTAGCTCCTTGTTTGGGGGATAAAGCAGATGCCATGCTCCACCCAAAGGGTGATTGGTCCAAAGATGGTTGTAGTAGGGTTCCAGCACATTCTTGTGTATAAGAAGCTCTTTTTTCAAAAGAGGGGGTGGCATAGCCTCATCAAATATTTGCCGGACAATGTCAGTACCAGAAATGATAATTATATGAAGCAGGTGATAGAAATAATTATAATCAAGTTTGAAGATAGGCATTTCATCTGAAAATGAATTTTGAGAAGTCAAACATTCCACATTAATGCTCTTTTTCTATGTGGTCTCTCGTATTACATCCTAAGCTCCTGTAGGACAGGGACTATTCCAAAAGAATGAAGTAGAATACAGTGCTTTGCCACAGCCAGTGCTCAACAAGCATGCTGCTGTCTAGCTGTCAAAAAATCCCAACAAAAAACAATATATTCCCAAGCAAAAGAAATCACAAAGACTAATCACCACAGAAGCCTTTCAACCATCCAGGGTTTTGTTCAAGTAAATGGCTCTGGCAACCAAATGGCATAAAAAATATTAGGCCTTTGAAAATTCTGAAGATTGTCAAGAATGGTAACTGCCAGTGTTTAATTATACTTTATTTAAGCAACTATATTTTATTTTAATCAGCACTGTCCAGTAGAACGTTCTGTGATAAAAATGTTTTAGATTTGGTCTACTAGCCACTGAACACCGGAAATGCTGCTTTTTTGACGAACTGAATTTGAATTATATCTCATTTTTCTTAATTTAAATAGCTGCATATGGCTAGTGGCTACCATATTAGACAATACAGAACTATTTCAAAAAACATAAAGTGACCTAATGCCTTACTCTTCAAAGTGTAGTCCACAGGCCAGCAGTGGCATCGCTACAGGAGCCTGTTAGAAATGCAGAATCTTAGCATCCCTCCCGCCACCGCCCCCAACCCAGAGCTACTGAATTGGCACCTACGTTGTAACAAAATCACCAGATGATTTAAATATATGTTAAAGTTTCAGACACACTGACCTCATGATGATGTTCTTACCCTCTCAAAAAATAAATGACTAAGTTTATTAAGTTTATTAAGATATTTCATCAGTAAAATGGAATAAAGCATGAGAATGAACTACTTTGTATTTTTCTGGCTTAATATCACTTCCGAAGGAGGAAAGTAGACTGAGGTGAATTAGAAAGTAATAAGAACTTGATATATGATGGTGTATTTTTTGTATGAATACCCAAATACATATTTATCATAAAATGCAGCTTTATTATTTTATCCTTCATGATTCTATGTTTCAAGAAATTTTAAAACTAATATTCTGGTTTGATATACTTGACATACACCATGGAGGCAAGCAAGGTTACAAAGCAAATGACCCAAGGAGCTTTCTCTCGGCAGCCAAATAAGACACTGGCTGGGATCAAGAATATTCATTTCCCCCTAGCAAGGACAACTGACACCAAACTATTCTTCCATGGGACTAGGAGCCCTAAAGTATCCAAGTGCTGAGTGGCTGGCATTTCTTAGCATGCTCCTAAACAACTGGCACCTAAGTTTAGACTACATGGCCTTAAGCCCAAAATCTTCATGCCTTCCATTTAGCTCTATTAACAGGGAATGCAACAGGAGAGGAGGCATTGGTAGGGAACACCTGCCGGAGTCCAATCTCAGTGTGTAGTCACAGCTATATACACCAGACCTAGCAGACTTCTCTACAGGATGCCAAGGTAATATAAGACCCATTTACCTGCTGATTTCTGTCCATGAATTCCAGCCTATGCCAAGTGATGCTTACTTAGTGTAAACCCAAGCCCAGTGAATGATAAACATAAACACATGGGTTGTTAATGGTATGATACTGTACAGAGCAAGTCAAAACTTTTAATACAGTTTTTAAGAGGAGGCATAGAAGAATAAAACAGTACCTTTTGTACTAAATTTTAAACTGATCTTCGGTCTTATATCAGTATCAGTGATTTCCAGAGACATTAACTTTTTATAACTGCAAGTAGAAAAAAATTAAGTTACAGTTAATACCAAAGTCAATCAAGATTTCTGGCATCAGCATGGCTAAGTAAGTGAGCACTTTCTTCTCCTGGAAAAACTTAAAAACAAAGAAGAAAAAGGAATGAACAAACAAAACCCACCAACAATGACAACCCCACACTGTCATTTCCATTGGAATTATGAGACAAACAGATCTGCTAGATTTATATCAAGAAAAAAAAAAAAATCATGGGACTAGCTTATTCGTAAAAAGGCTGTATGGCAGCAGAAACATTGTAAAAAAACCCAGCAAATCCGTAACTTCTTCCAGACCCCCCTCCAACATAAGATCTTTCTACCAATCACTATTCCAAGGAAATTCAACTCATTCAATGACTAGTGATTTAAAAAAGAAAAAAACAACAAAAAGGAGCAACAAAGAAACGAGCATAACAGCAATACAAATAACTAGGAAAAAATTAGGTTAAAAGTAGCAAAATTTATTAAATAGACAAAACACTAAGTAAATGTTGCCATAAAACAGATGAAAAACTTGAGACTTGGCACTGAGATGAAATCTCCCACAGAAAACAAACAAAAATGGGACAATACCACCACAGAATGTTTGTTTAATGAGGACAGAGATTTTGGTGATGCTTGTTGTTAACTGTTTTATCTCCAGCACCGTAACACTGCCAACCAACCACTACACTGGAAACATTTTTAACTCTTAACAGTATGAAGTACTGGTGAAGATACTGAGCAAAAGGGATTTTGGTGGTGGGAGTGTAAATTGGCAAAACCACTGTGGGAAACAGTTCAGCAAAATCTAGTAAAGTTGGAAGATATGGACAAATGGCCTACCAGTTCTACTCCTAGGTATAAATTCTGGAAAACTTTCTGCACATACACATCTGGAGACATGTCCAGCCATGTTCATCATAGCACTGTTTGTTACAGCCAGAATTCAGAAATAACCCATATATCTACCAGTGTAATTAAAGTAGTACAGCCTTACAATAAAATTATAGCAATGAATGGAAAAACTGTAAGAATACATCACACAAATAATATACAGGTAAGCATAAAAAACATAAGTATCAATAACTACAGCAAATTTATATGGACTACACATTCCAATTTAACAACAGACATTGTCAAGTTGGATATAAAGAAGCAAGACCTATGCTGTCTATAAAAACTCTCTTTAAATACAGACATATACAGGTTGAGGTAAATAAATGCAAACAGATATACCATGCATATATTAATCCAAAGAAGATAAAAATGACTAACAGGTACATGAAAAGATGCTCAACATCACTAATCATCCAGAAAATACAAATCAAAACTACAATGAGATATCACTTCACACCTGTTAAGATTAGCTATTATCACAAACACAAAAGATAATGAGTGTTGGCCAGGATAGGGAGAAACAGGAACCCCTTTGGTGGGAATGTAAACTGATACAGCCACTAGGGGAAACAGTATGGAGGGTCCTCAAAAAATTAAAAACAGAATTGATCCAGCAATCCCACTTTTGGGTATATATTATATATCCAAAGGAAATGAAGTTTCTAGCTTGAAGAGATACCCATATCCCCATGTTCACTGCAGTATTATTTACAATAGCCAAGACATGAAAACTATAAATGTCTAACATGGATGAATGGATAAACAAAATATGATTTACACACACACACACACACACACACACACACACAGGAATACTATTCAGCTATAAAAAAGAAGGAAATCCAGCCATTAGTGACCACATGGATGAATCTGGAGAGCATTATGCTAAGTGAAATAAGCCAGATAGAGAAAGCCAAATACTATAGGATATCACATATATGTGGGAGCTAAAACCCCCCAAATTCACAAAAACAGGAAGTGAAATAGTGGTTGCCAGGGATGAGGGTATGGGGAAAATGAGTAAGGGAGTCAAAGGGTACAAACTGGGGATCCAATTCCAGTGTACAGCACAGTGACTATAGTTAACAATACTGTTTGTATACTCGAAAGTTGCTAAGAAAGATTTTTTTTTTTTTTTTAAGATCTTATTGATTTATTCTAGGGAGACAGAGAGAGCATGCATGTGAGCAGGGGGAGAAGCAGAGGGAGAGGCAGAGAGAGAGAATCTCCAGCAGATTCCATGCTATGCACAGAGCCTGACATGGGCCTTGGTCTCATGACCCTGAGATCACAACCCCAGCCGAAACCAGGAGTCTGACGCTCGACTGACTGGAGCTACCCAGGCGCCCCAGAAAGTCGATCTTAAAAGTTCTCATCACAAACACACATGAAAAATGTTAACACATCCATCACCTCACACAGTTAACTAACCTTACTGTGGTAATCATTTCACAATACATATACGTGTATCAAATCATCACTTTGTATACCTTAAACTTATATAATGTTATATCTTTAAAAAGCTAGGAAAGCGGCACCTGGGTGACTCAGTTGGTTAAATGTCCAACTCTTGATTTCGTCTCAGGTCATTATCTCAGGGTCCTGGGATCAAGTCCTGTTTGGGCTCCGCACTCAGCAGGGAGTCGGCTTGAGATTTTCTCCCTCTCCCACTGCCTCTCCACCCAACCCTCCCTCTCCCCCCCACCCCGGGCTCATGCACACTCTAATAAATAAATCTTAAGTTTTTTTATTTTTAAGACTTATTATAGGGGAGGGCGCCTGGGTGGCTCAGTTGGTTAAGCGACTGCCTTCAGCTCAGGTCATGGTCCTGGAGTCCCGGGATCGAGTCCCACATCGGGC